GGCTTAATTTTCATTTTTTATGTGTATGAGTGTTATGCCTGCATGTAGGTAAGTGCACCTGTGTCGTGCAATGCCTGAGAAGGACAGAAGAGGCCATCAGATTCACTGGAACTAGAGTTATGGGCAATCTTCTGCAAGAACAACCAGTGTTCTTAACCACTGAGCAATCTTTCCAGCCCCCAAATCTTAATATCATAATAAATAAGAAATAAAAAAAATTTTTTGGTCTTTTTGAGACAGGGTCTCCCTGTAGCTCCAGCTGCCTGGAACTCACTCTGTAGACAAAGCTGGCCTCGAACTCACAGAGGATCTGCCTGCCTCTGCCCCCCGAGTGCTGGGATTAAAGGTGTGCACCACCATACCCAGCAGAAATAATAATCTTTTAAAAATATTTTGCTTATTATTTTTATTTTATGTGTATGAGTGTATTACCTGCATGTATGTAAGTGCACCCGTGTTGTGCAATGCCCTCGGAGGTCTTCAGAAGAGGGTGTCAGATACCCTGGAAATGCAGCTATGGGCCATTCATTGTTAGCTGCCATGTGGGTGCTGGGATTCAATCCTGGGTCCTCTGGAAGAGCAGCCAGTGCTCTTAACCACTGAGCCATCTCTCCTGCCCCAGAAATAATAATCTTAATACAAATAAATCTTAAAAAAGAATAAGATGCAACATTGAGGAGCACGGAAAAGCCATGTTGAATCTACAGAGAACTAGAACACATCATCTAAGCATGATTGAGAGAGAGAGAGAGAGAGAGAGAGAGAGAGAGAGAGAGAATGAGAATGAGAATGAGATCTATGGGCACTAGGACATATGTATGATGAGAATACATAGGACACCTCCATGTCCCTGTTCAAGAAGCACACAAATACCTAAGATGTATGAAACACCAGAATGGCTGTTTGTGGTGGAGGGCCCGAATAAATAAGCCAAAAACAAAACAAAACAAAACAAACACAAAACAAAACAAAACAAAAACTGTAAGAGAGCTATTAGAAAAGACTTCACTGGGGAGGTGACGTTGGGCTGAAGCCTAAATGGAAACATAAGAGTCTGAGTGCTGGGAGAAGGCTGTTCTAGGGGACAGCAGGTGCAAAGGGGTCAGGGGCAGGAAAGAGATTGATGAATGGAAGACCAGCCAGCAGTATAGTCAAAAAGGAAAGTACTGGAAACAAAGGGACAGGGGCTGGAGAGATGCTTCAGTGATTAAGAGCCTTGGCTGCCCTTGCAGAGGACCCAGGTTCAGTTCCCAGCACCCACATGGCAGCTAACATCTGTCTGTAACTCCAGTTCCAGGGGGTCTGTCACCCTTTTCTGTCTTCTGTGGGCACTGCATGACGTGTGTATTTACACACATAAGCAACCCACTCATACATATAAAATAATGTTTTTTAAAATGTAAAGAAAATGGGCCATTGGGAAATGTACTGCTTACACTGACCATATTTGATTCTGAGGGAGTTTAACTATTTTCTCTGAATGACTGTTCTCAGAGACTCCAGGTTTGGTGGGTGTCAGGCACCAAAACAGAAAAAGCTGCAGTTCCTATGCTGGGTCCTGGACTGAGTCCCTGGAGGCTTCATTTCATTTCACGAAAACGTGTGTAGGTGTCAACAGTACCTACCCTCACATGGTTGTGATGGTATGAAATGAGACAGTCTAAATAGAGTACTTAGCACAGCTTCTGGCATACAGGCACAGCCTATTTGTTGTAACATGTGTGCACTGAGACTACTCTAATTCAAGGACAATGTGACCCATGGGAGAGGGTGCCAGCACCATGACAAGAGCCATCCTTTTTGTGCTCAATGCCATGACCCCAGCAACTGAAAGTAGCCTGGCACATAGTATCTCAGTCAGTACCTGTTGGGTGAACTGAGCATGG